CGTACATACTCCTACCTTCATGGTTTAATTTGCCTTCAATTATGTTTCCTCAATGAGTACTCTGTTATGGCCTAACGCTGGAGTAGTCAAAGTAATTTTTAATAGCACAGTGGAAATCACATTACACTGCCTTTTGGGAAGAAACTGCTAAATTTAGCTGTGCAATAAAGATTAATCTTTGCACCAAGGAAAATCTAATAATTAAGAACAAAGTAGGAAGTGTCAGGAAGATAAAAAATTCAGCAGCGACACTTCATTCAGCTTCAGAATGAAGTTACCTGCAAATGCTCCAGAACACATGGTTGTTCAAAATAAAAACACAAAGCTTGCACAGCTTGTTGATTGTACACCTTTCTGCCAAAACAGCCATTATTTCACTGCAGTCTCCCAGCAGTCCCTGAAAAAAATTGCAAACACTGCCTTGGACTTGAAAAAAACTACCTGTCCTTGCTGGAACACGGTGTGAGGGAAAAAAACATCCCTGTATCCTAAAGATATTCTGACTTCCTAGATGAAAAACAATGGAAGAGCAATGGCCAGTTCCCAAAACATTGACACATTACAACACATTAAAGAAAATAGAGCAATGGCCAGTTCCCAAAACATTGACACAACACATTAAAGAAAATGAGAACAGCACACAAGAGAACATTTTGAGCTGCAAAAGCAGCAATTCATTCATCAGAGTTGGGAATAATTGATGTCATTGCACAAGGCTGAAACATTGCACATGAATCTGACTAACCACGTTCAAGAAACACTGAAACAAGACTTGAGAGAGGGACCATGGCAACAGAGAGCTTATAACAGGAGACTAAAGAAAGCTGGTTTGTGTAATCTAGTAAACAAAGGTGGAGAAGGGACTGCTGCCTATAAATAGGTCAGAGCAGTAAACATCAGTGAAGTGTATTATTTCAGATAGAAAGCAGTTCTGGAACAGAAATAAATGGATGAGAACTGACTGTGAATAAATTTAGATCGGAAATCAGAAGAAGCTATCCAACCATTAGGCCTGGCATACTAGTAGACTGGAGAGCCAAGAGGGAAATCTACCTACTTTAAGACAGTTTGGTCAGATGGTGACATTACGTGGGCCTGTGACAGCAGGTGACTGGACCCAGTAACCCAAAAGGGCTTTTTTTTTTTTTCATGAAAAAACAAACAACCCTCATAGCTGCTAGTAGCTGACCTCCTAGCAGCACACCATTCTTCCAGTTTAAGGTGTAATACTCCCCAGCAGCCCACCACACTGCTCAAGCAATGAAAGCCTGCTTCTGCTCCAGGGGCCAAGCAAGTACCTTTAGCACAGGAAACGTACTCACAAGAGGCAGCTTCTCACACCATTCCACCTCCACGGTAGGGCTGCAAAGAGACGACCTGAGTCACCATGTGCCATAGAATATTATATTCTAATGGAATATTATAATCTAATAAAGATTAGCGGCAAGGACTAACAAGCTCTACCCTCTGCAGGACTAGCTGTAGAGTGATTAGACACATTACATGGTCAATTCCAGCTGCAAAGGAGCAAGAAGCATTAGTAACACCAAGAGATTAGGTGTAGTCTCTGGCTTCTCATGGCTATGCTGAATTCTGTAAGCAGAGAGCAATGTTTGTTTCCTGCACTTGGGCAGACCAAAGGCTAGTGAACTCAGACAACACCACAAGCAAGCACTGCCAAGAAGCTGCAGACAGTCAGTGCCCCTAGCTTAGCTTTCCACAGAGCTAATGTGGTCCCACCAGGCTTGGACAAATTCTGCTAAATTTAGCAGCACAGTCAAGTCATTTTCTGTTTTCTCCACTTCATCTCAGTACTTGCTTACAGTGCCAGCCTTGAAAAGGCAACGTGAATGACCATATTCTCTCACCTTCCTTGGCTTTCACTTTGGACAGTTTGGCTGTCACCTCCTGGAGGGAGGCAAGAAGAGCAAGGAATTAAAAACAGATAGCAAGCTGTTTGATACAGCCCCCCTGCCTGTAACCCTTCCTCTGGCATAAGGCACCATAACCCTTCACCACAACAAAGCTTTTTTTGGCTGTACTTGCCACATGTCATTGACCACAGTACTGCATTAGTAGCATGTACTGAATATAACTGTAGTAATTATTAGTACTGCCTTCATTAAACTCTTTCCACTGCTACACCATGTTAGGTACCCATCTGTTACTGCAATAGAAGACACACCAAGAAGCAAGGGTGATGGATTATCCTTCTGTAATTGGAAAGAATTCGCTTCCATGGAGACAACATGTTCCTGAAGGTCTCCTACCCTAACATACCATGTCATAAACCTGATGTCAGCAAACAAAGTACATAAACTGTTAGAGACATTACAGGGCATGCCCTAAACTACCATCCATCACCTCATGCCAGACTATTAATTGGAAAGACCATGTAAAATGATGCATTAACATGGTTCTAATAGATGGTATAGGAATAATTTGTTGAAAGAACCCATGTAGCTTTCTCAAAATATGGAGCTTACTACATACTGCTTTTACCATACAGGCCTTAACCAGGAATTTAAACTATTGCATCACTCAACAACAGATGGTGAGGGGAAATAAAGCGTTTTCAAGAGGCGCCTTATAGTAATTAATGTTAATGTTCTAATAACTACATTAGATTTTATATTTTTATATTACATGGTTATACTTTAAACCATTTCTGCTCTTAAGAACTCATACTGAGCCTGTGTGCTTATCAAGTATAGAAAACAATTGTGCAAACATTAAGACATCCCTTAAATCTTGGGAGAAGTGTATTTTATTTATAATATTTCCTACATAACTGAAGTTACTTTTTCAATAACCCAAATAATAAGCTTTTATTAGAAGCCCATCTTTCATGTAACACATCTCAAAGTGGGAATGCAGAAACCATCATTTAGCCTTGCCAGAATATGCGTCTACATATATGTGCTTCTTCCACCTGCTTCCTTATATAGTTACCAAGAAACACATACTACCATTTTCTTAAAAATGATTACCAAATCATCTATGATTTTGACAGAAAACTTTTTTAGTTTTCTCCAAACTGTTCAGTACAACAGCAATACAACACTTCAAACTTGCACAGCACAGCCCATCACAAGATCCTCTAAGCTTGGAGAACCTTTTCTTATTTAGATGTGCTTAATGGATTCCTTTCGAAGTACCAGAGTTACAACAGGTTATTCCATTTCTTCAACTGAAGTGACTCCCACATGGCAAGGCTGCTGGAAAGAGGAAGTGAAGATAGTGCTTTGTACTGCACCCAGCATGACCTCTACTGGTTGCCTTGGTTGGCCAGGGTTACTCCAAAATGAACCTGCCGTGTTCTGCACACCAGAGCTACCACAACAGAAACCTACAACACTGAGATGCTTCCTGGCATCACAGGATCTTGACAGAGAACTGAGGTTGAAGCTCTAGACTATGTTGTTTAAGAAGCTGTCTTTCTTTTAACTGAAATCAAGATTGAAGCTTGAGTGAAGCTTGTTATCAAGAACTAAGTTCTCAGCTGGTTCAGTAGCTGCCACCACACCCCAAGCCTGGTAGTTCATTAGGTTATAGGAACCCCTATCCCCAACAAGAGATTATCAGCCTACACTAGCTTTCATATACATCCTAAAGTTCATTGAGTGGGAAACACTGCATTTCAATGAAGTATGAGAAGTCTCCTGCACTTTTCTGGATACATCTTCATTAGGGTCCAGAAATGCTCCACAGTAGAGCCATTCTTGGGTTTTGGTTTTGAGAGGTATTTAGCATCAAGCAGTCTGCAGGTTAGCTCCCCTCACCTAAACCAAACCAGCCTCATGAGAGCGAAGATTTCATGGCAAAAGGTAATTCCATAAAGAAATAATCAGCCACTCTCTATTCAGCAGATCTTTAATTTTTCCCCCAGGGTTACACATTTGCTTTCACACCTGTTCAATCCCACTAGATTTCAGACCAAGCCAAGAAAACAAGTGTTCACATACACAACTGCCTGGCCACCTAAACACAGCAAAGTCTCCCTGGTGTCTGCTGTGTTCTTATCTTTACCTACTGCTGAACTGCAGGAGAAAGCTAATTCTGTAATGTTCTCTCAACTCCTGACAAATGCCAGCTGCTTCTGGGCAGTGGGCATTCCCAGAGGGACAGCTACCAGTGAGCCCCACCACAGAAGTGCCAGTGGGAAAAGTCTGACATCCTGTTCTCCACAGGTTGCACTCATTCCTTGGGCTCATCTCTCTCTGCTGTCAGAATATGAAGACAAGCATGGGCCTTTCTGTACCCTCCTCTCTGCTAGTCAACAGCCCAGTTGCTAAGTCCTTGGGGTAACAGCAATAGAAGAAAAAAATTTAAAAGCAGCATTTATTTACATACACCAGGTATAATCTACACAGCTGTGTAATAGAGAAGTGCCCTAAAACACCCCTCCTACTGCCAGGTCAGGTCACAGCCACATACACTATGACAGAACTGCCATCACAAACACTTACTTACTAGAAACATAACTGACCACTGACCAGGCTAGAGCACCCCACAGTGGATGTGCTCAGGAGACCACAGAAATAGCTGTTTAACAGCATAACAACGTTGTTTCCCAACTAGTTAAAATTATAGCGGGGGTTGTGCTAGTTTTAATTATGCAGCATAGAAAGAAATAACACCTCAGTAAACATATTCCTCTTGCAGTCAGAAATAAACTACAACTGGCAGCCGCTGCTCTTTTCTCCCCCCCGAAGGATGCCAAGAACTGTTTCAGTGGGAGCAAGTCATGCAAAGGTTGTCCTACAGACAGAGATAAAAAGTGATTCTTTTACTCAGCAACAGCTCCCTAAGGCACACGAAGGCAGAGCTCAACAGGAAGGCCTGAGATTGTTCTGCAGTGTGACTGAGCAGCCTGGCTGGCAAGGGTTGATCAGGGCACTCCAGAGACACTGCGTGCCCTTCCCAAAGACAGGGACAGAACCAAAACCCCATCCTACCACCTTCCCAACACAAAGCAAGCAGAGGAACACTCCTCCTACCTGAACTCAGGGAGGAGGTTTGGCCGTAGCCCATAGAAAGCCGCTGAGAGAGTCACTAGCCAGCCGGGTTTGTAATTCCCATTCTCACACTCCAGGTAAGGTGAGGACCACCTGATGTGGTTCTTATCAGCAGTGAAGCTCTCCCGCCTCTTCCAGCTGTTCTCCAAAGTTTTGGGGCCTGTGTTTAACATCTTCCTGTGCAGATGTGGCCTCCACTTGCGCTTCAAGCTGTGGAACCACTCTGTTTCCACAGAGGCATTAGCCAGGTGGTGAGCTGAGGAGGACAAGTCCTGGAGGAGGACCTGGCTCTCGTGCCTGCTGGCCTGGAGGAACACCTGGGGGGTGGAGGAGAAAGGCTCCGTGCTGAAAGTGATAGCTGCCCTGGAGATGTTGGGGTCCCCCTCCAGGAGGCTCCTGATCAAGGCGCGGTACCACTCCAGGTCCTCCTGCAAGTTCTGCTCTCGCGACTTATTGCTCTGGAGGATCACGTTGAGGAAGTTGGTGGCGTGGGTGAGGGTGTCCAGGGCCCCGTGCAGGGAAGGATGCGAGGTGAAGCGCGACTTGCCAGCGAGGCTGGCCAGCTCGTACCGCCCGGAGCAGTTGGCGCGCCGCAGCTCCCGGGAGTCGCCCGTGTAGAGGAACGAGGCCACGTCCTGGGGCACCTCCTCAGCGA